CTCTTTCTCTCTCTCTCTCTCTTTCTCTCTCTCTCTCTCTCTCTCTCTCTTTCTCCCCTCTCTCTCTATCTCTTTTTCTCTACCTCTCGTATCTGTTTTTGTTTCTCCCTCTCTCTCTCTTTCTCTTTGCCTCTAATCAACCGCCCCTCTCTTCGCTCCTTCTCTCCTGGCGTTTTCCCTTTTCCTTCGTCCCTCCCCCTCCCTTCCTCCCACTCTCCCCCGTTCTCCCCCTCCTCTTTTTGCACTCACATGTACGCCCACGAAGGATTGTCCACCCGTTCAGGTGCGCCCGTCTGTCTAAGCCCGCCGCCCCCCGCAAAGAGAAATAATCCCCCAAAAGGGTGTGTGATCGAAGACAAAAGGGCGGGTATCGAGGGTGTGGGGAACTCGTTTTGAATGACACGCGGGCAAGTAAGAGCGAACAGTCTTATAATGATTGTTGTTGTTGTTGTTGTTGTTGGTGGTGGTGGTGGTGGTGGTGTTGTTTGTCGTTGCTGAATATTCATTTCTAGAAAATAAGTATGGTTGGTCTCCGGAAACGTTTCCGGGCGCTCTCGCCTCGACGCTGGCTGCATTTTCAAGGCTCCCGCTCGAGCGTGGGCTTGAGTGTAAAAGTGGGCCTTGTGAGGTCCAGCTGCGACGACAACGGCTCCCGTTCGATACTTCTTCACAATTTACCCCGAGACACCCTGGCCAGAGAGGCGCCCGAACTCAGGAACGGCGCTCTCGCTCGAGATTCCTTCGCGATTCAGTCAAGTTGGCGGGGGCCCAGCCACGACGACAAGGGCTCTTGCTCGATACTTCCTCACGACTTACTCCGAGAGCCTCTGGCCAGGAAGGCCCCCGAACTCAAAAACGGCGCTCTCGCTTGAGACTTTCTCATGATTCAGGCAAAATAGTGGAGGCCCAGCTGCGACAACAGAGGCTCCCGTTCGATACTTCGTCAAGATGTATTCGCAAAGGCCCTTGCCAGGGAGGCCCCCGAACTCAAGAGTGGCGATCTCGCTCGAGATTTTCTTGTAATTCAGGCAAGTCGGTGGAGGCCCAGGCTCGGCGACAAGGGCTCCTGCTCGATATTTCTCGATCTGTATTCCGAGAGCCCTTGGCTTGGCCAGAGCGGCCCCCGAATTCAAGAACGGCGCTGTCGCTCGAGAGTTCCTTACAATTCAGTCAGTGGCCAGCAAGGAAGATATTCCCCCCAAAGGGGGTGCGATCGAAGACGAAGTGGGCGGGTATCGAGAGTTGGGGTATACAGAATGCAAAGTATGCGTGCCAGTAAGAGCGAACAGGCTTAAAATGATTGTTGTTGTTGTTGTTGTTGTTGTTGTTGTTGTTGTTGTTGTTGTTGTGGTTGTTGTTGTTGTTGTTGTTGTTGTTGTTGTTGTTGTTGTTGTTGTTGTTGTTGTTGTTAGTGTTAGTGTTGTTGTTGATGTTGTTGTTGAGTTCTCATTATTGAAGAATGATTATTGTTGATCCCCCCTCCGGTGACCATCGCGTTTTTCAATTGAAGTGCTTCCCCCAGGGATCGCACGCTGTTTACATATATATATATATATATACACACGGGAAGGTCACTCGACTCAAACTGGGCCCCTGGCTCCCTGGCCCTTGGTTTACAACAACAGCGGCTCCCGCCTGATACTTCCTCGCAGTGTATTCCCAGATCGCGCTCTCGCGCGGGACTTACTCATGACTCATGTACGCATCGCGCTCTCGCGTGGGACTTCTTTTCATTTTATTCTGACGATGCGCCCTCGGCGCTCTGGAATCGCGCTCTCGCTGTGTGGTTTTTCTCACGATTTACTTAGGAATCGCGCTATCGTTCGAGACTTCCTCGCGATTCGTGCAGGACCCACGCTTCAGCAACCCGCCTGCTCGACCTGGTCGTCTGGGCCCGCCTTCCCGATCTGCCCGCTATTGGTCTGCCCACCCGATCTGCCCGTCTGGTTCTACCATTTGTGTTCTGTTCTTTCCCCCTCCTGCTAATTTCTCTCGTGTTCCATTCTTCTCCCTCCCCCTTCCACCCGTCCTCTCTTTCCTTGTTTTAGAGGCTGTGCTAAATGCACGTGGCAGGTAAGGAGGATATAACTCCAAGGTGGCACGATCGAAGACGACGAGGGCGGGTATCGAGGGTTTGGGATATACTTATTGGTTGTCACGTGGGCAGGTAGGAGCGAACAGTCTTAAAATAATTGTTGTTCTGGCTGCTGCTGCTGTTGTTGAATTTCCATTTCTGAAGAATAATTGTTACTGGTCCCCCCGCTCGCACCCTGTTTTTAATCAGGGAAAGTCTTGAAGCTCAAACTGTGTCATTGGCCCCCGGGTTAGAACAACAACGGCTCCCGCCTGAGACTTCCTCACAATTTAGCCAGGACCCCAGCTCCCACCCGAGACGTCCTCGCATTTTATGCAGGAGTCGCGCTCTCGCTGGGGACTTCCTCACAATTTATTCAGGAATCCTTATCTCGGCCCTCTGGAGTCGCGCTCTCGCTGGAAACTTGCTTGCACTTTACTCAAGAAAAGCGCCCTTGCGTTGGAATTTCCTGCAGTTTACTGAAGCGCCGCGCTCCCGACACTCAGGCACCCAGGAGTCGCGCTCACGCTTGGGACTCCCTCACATATTATTTAGGAATCGGAATCTCGCTGCCCTTCGTGGCCCCGTTGCAGCCCTTCGTGGCCCCCTCGCTGCCCTTCGTGGCCCCGTTGCAGCCCTTCGTGGCCCCCTCGCTGCCCTCCGTGGCCCCCTCGCTGCCCTTAGTGGCCCCGTTGCTGCCCTCAGTGGCCCCGTCCTTGCCCTCCGCGGCCCAATATACGCATGCCCTTTGTGGCCCCCGCTCGTTCGCGCCCGTCGTGGCCCCATGTGCATGCCCTTCGTGGCCACGCTGTCGCCCTTCGTGGCCTACTTCGTGCCCTTCGTGGCCCTGCTGTCGTTCTCTATGTCACTCTCGCTTTCGCTCGTCGTCGTCGTCGTCGCCGTCGTTGTCGCCGTCGTTGTCGTCGTCGTTGTCGTCGTCGTCGTAGTCGGTCTCCTGTCTGTCCCTCTTGGGGTCGGGCTGCCGCCGATCAGCCTCTGCCGCTGGCCAGGCCGACGGTCCGCGGCCGCCCCGCCGCTTGCCGGGGCCCGGCCTGCAGGGAAGAAAGGTATACCCCCCAAAAGGGGTATGATCGAAGACGAAGAGGGCGGGGTATCGAGGGTTTGGGAAATACGCGTTAGCGCACACTCGAGAAGATAAGAGCGAGCAGTCCTAAAATGATTGTTGTTGTCGTCCCCACCGCGACCTCGCCCGCGACCCACCCGCGACGCGCCCGCGACCCACCCGCAACCCACCTCGCGACCCAACCGCGACCCACCCGCGATCCACCTCGCGACACACCCGCGACACACGCGCGACCCACCCGCGACCCACCCCGCGACGCGTGCGTGATCTACACGCGACCCACCCGCGACCCACCCGCGACGCACCCGCGACCGGGCCCGCGACCCCGACCCCCCCCGACCCATCCGCGCCCGACCTTCATTGTCTTAACTAAAAAATCGGCGCCTGCGGCGAGCTCGGGTACACCGCGCGCCGACGTTTCCACTGCCCCCTCACTCCTATCTAAAGTCGGGCGCGTCCCTCTACAAGGGGAATATTCAAAAACAGTCGAAAAATTGTATGGGGATTATTTTTTGATTATTCTTTGGCTATTTGGGGGTATTTTCTGAGTATCTTTCATTTTTCGCCCAAAATCCGCCTGTAGGGGTCACGCCCGACCTAATCTTATCCGCAACTGTGGAGTGCTACGTATTTTGAAGTTGTCATTTGGTCTGTGCCCCTTGGCGCACTTGCCCAAATCTTGAGCTGCGGGCTTGCAAGTGGCTGTTATCCAACTCGTGGGTGAAAGCGTCAGAAGTGAGGGGCATGTCGAAGCTGTTCTGCATCTGCTCGCGCCGATTTTTTGGGGGAGGCTGGCGGGGTGGATGTTGAATTCCTCGCTGAGTTTTCATCGTTCCCTTTCGCGCCACTTGAAAGTCCCGCCCGACCCGACCCGCCTGCTCGTTAGCACCCGCCTGCCCGACCCGCCCGTCGGGGTCCGTCCGACCGGCCTGCTACTGTCCGCCCGCCCGACCCCCCTTCTTTGGATCCAGCGCCCATCGCTCACTGCTTCCATGGCCTCTGGTACGAAGAAGGCGCCTTATGATGCGAAGGGCTGACAGTGAGGGGGCCTCAGGTCCCAATCCACATGAAGAGCCTTCCCACCCCAGTAATCGAACAATGACGCCCAAAAAACATCGAAGTGCGAGCTCGCGGCCCGGAGCCCGATCTACTAGAAATGCGAAGGCAATCGCTCGGCCATCGACAGAAAGCCCGCCCCCAGACAAGACGACTGAGGAAATCTGCACGTGTTCACTCAAGATTGGCAGTACCAGGGCAGTCCTCCGTCGGTTTGGTTAGTCGACGTGTAGTTTGCCCTATAGAATCGGAGGCGTTGATGAGCTATGCCGCTCGGGTCCACTCGGAAAGTGGTGCCGTGGGCACGTGGAGTGCGCTTCGCAGCTTTCATGAAGGGCCCTTTTGACCTTTTGCCAAATTAGGGTTCTGTCCACCTCTTCTACGCTCGTTTTCTGCATATCTCTTGCAACCGATGCGTGCGCCCCGCGCATGCCTGGAGAGAGAGAGAGAGAGAGAGAGAGAGCGTGGGGCACGATTTGTGCGCCTGTGTCCTCTCTTGCAGTTACATCACCGCGTCGAGCATCACTCCTCACTTCGCACTTGGTGGCCGCAGCCGTTTAGGGGCGAGGCGCGTCTTCGTCGAACGAACCCCGGAGTCGAGGCGCTCGTCTGGACGGTCCCTGCCCTTCAGGCGTCGGGACCTGCTCCATCAGACTCTCACAGAGAATCGCCTCCCGCCAGGCAGGGAGATGGCCCACCTCTTGCGCACCTCTTGCCCACCGCCACGCTGTGCCACCTGCCCGCCTGCTGCCCACCTGCACGTGCGCCCCCCCTCCCTCCCGCCAG